AAATTACCCTGAAAAATTGAGTATAATCCTACAAGGGGAAAAAATTACTTCCATTGGAATAAAGGACCATCAAACATTTCTTATGAAAAGAGTGAAGCTGAGAAAGTNAAATTACCCTGAAAAATTGAGTATAATCCTACAAGGGGAAAAAATTACTTCCATTGGAATAGAGGACCATCAAACATTTCTTATGAAAAGAGTGAAGCTGAGAAAGAACTTTGAAAAGCAAACAAGAATTCCTCTGACCCAGCAAGGCAAACTTATTTGAGCAATTTAGATTGATGTAGTGCTAATATTCTAAAGGGGAAGAAGAAACAAGTGTGCCTTCAGAAACTTAATGATTTCAAAGAATTTTGAGGAGAATTATATGAAAAAAACGGGTCTCAGGAGAGGATTGATTCTGTTCTGAGGGTTTGAAAGGTAAAAGAGAAGGGAAGGTGAAAGGAGGAATACAATATTGTAGAAAGAGGAAGAAATGAGGAAGGGCTGTATGTGGCGCTGGCTGCTTCTCATGATTTGGGTGCATGAGAAGAATATACAAAGAGGAAGGCCGGGGAGAGTGGGCATCAAATGGGCCTCATTTTTTTTTTTAAACTAATTTAGTTTTAGTTTTCAACAATCACTTCCGTAAGCTTTTGGTTCTAAATTTTCTCCCCTTCCCTCTCCGCCTCCCTCCCCAAGACGGCCTGCAATCTGATAGGGGCTCTAAGTGTACATTCCTATGAAACATATTTTCACATTAGTCATGTTGTAAGGAAGAATTAGAACCCAGAAAACAAAACAGGCAGAAAAAAAAAAAGAGCAAGTAGTGTGCTTCAGTCTGCATTCCAACTCCAAAATTCTTTTTCCCGATGTGGATAGCATTTTCCATCATGAGACTTTTGGAGATGTCTTAGATCCTTGCATTGCTGAGAAGAGCTAAGTCTGTCAAAGTTAGTCATTGCATAATGTGGCTTTTACTGTGTGCAACGTTCTCCTGGTTCTGCTCATTTCACTCTGNTTGGAGATGTCTTAGATCCTTGCATTGCTGAGAAGAGCTAAGTCTGTCAAAGTTAGTCATTTCATAATGTGGCTTTTACTGTGTGCAACGTTCTCCTGGTTCTGCTCATTTCACTCTTTATATAAGTTGATATGAGCCTTTCCAGGTTTTTCTGAAGTCTGCTTGCTCATCATTTCTTATAGCACAATAGTATTCCATTACATTCGTATACCACAGCTTGTTCAGCCATTCCCCAATTGATGGGCATCCCCATAATTTTCAATTCTTGGCCACCACAAAAAAGAGCTGCTATAAGTATTTTTGCACATGTGGGTCCTTTTCCCATTTTTATGATCTCTTTGGGATACAGCCCTAGAAGTGATATTGCTGGGTCAGAGGGTATGCACATTTTTATAGTCCTTTGGGCATAGTTCCAAATTGCAATAAGCCTCATTCTTATCTGAAATGGAGAAAGGAGGATTGAATGGAAAATCCTGCCCCCCTCCCCCCTGCCCACATACGTACACACACACAGAGTGAAATAGCTTGGTGTCCAAATGTGTGAAACTCAATTGGGAAAGAAGTGAGGATAGGGAAGGGATAGGGGATCTAATAATATTGCCTCTTAGATGGTTGGAAAGTGGCTGAACAAATTATAATATACGCATGTTATAGAATATTGTACTGTAAGACATTATAAAGAGGCAATTTCAGACAATCCTGCGTAATGTGAAGTGATGCACAATGAATTGAGCAGAACTGGGAGAATAATTTATACAAGGGCAACTATTTTGTAAAGAAAAACAACTTTGAAAGATCAATACAATGACCAGTTTTGTCTCTAGCAGTAGAATGAAGGGAGGCATCCCCAAGCACTGTCCTTTTTGGTGGGGAAGAAAGAGGGAGGAAAGGGGCAGGTTCCCAAATAATTTCTGGTGGGAGGGAGCTGTACCTCTACCCATTTTGTGAAAATGAAGTTCATCTGTAGAATTCTTGCCAGGCTTTATAAGCTTTCTTCAAAACATTCTTGTGTTTTGTCCTTTCAGTTGATACAGTCCCCTTTGACTACTCCCCTTGGACTGATCATGTTGAAAACTACTTCAGAAGAGCTGGCATGCCCCCGAGAAGACCTCAGTGTGGCTCGGAAAGAGGAGTTGCGGAAGCTGCTGTTGGACCAGGTACAAACTGTACTTGGACTGCTTACAGGTGGGTGTGATTACAATTTTGCAAAAAAGTGTTCAGCCTGTGATGGCTCAGAGGCAGCACTGAGAATTTATAAGCCAGTTAACATTTTCCTAAAGTAAAACCCTTTTTGTTTGTACAGTTTGTTGTCACTTCAGTGGTTTAACATTTTCTAGTTAAAAAAAAATTAGATGTAAGGATGCTTTTAAACTCAATCAGGAATATATGAAAATAATTTGATTGGAACAGAGTTTGGTAAAAAGTGGGACAGACACTAGACAAATATAATTGTAGACAATTGAAAAACAAAAGAAGGTCATCTTGCTCGGGAGAAGTTTTTATGGAAGAGAAAGAATTTGAGTTTAGCTTTAAAGGATAATTATTATTCAGTAGGCAGAAAGTAAAGGAGTGAAGGGAGATTATTGTAAGCATATGGAACAGAGAGGGTTGGGGAAATCTCTGAAGTTGCAGAACAATCCATGTTGGCTACATCATCCATTATATGGAGAGTTAAATGATAGGATATAAAGCGGAAAGTTAGGGAGGAATGTACTTGTGAAGGGCCTGATAAGCAGTGATGTTTAAATGTTACTCAGTAGTAGTCAGGGAAGCTCATGAGCATAGAGAAGGACATGACCAATATGTGCATGAAGATCACTGTCCTAGGTGGGAGAAGGGAATAATAAACTTTCTTGAGGTCTCTTCTAGATCTTGGATTCTGTCACTTCTGAAGGAAATTTTGGGTCTCCTGTAGACCCTGGAAAAAGGAGATGGGACAAAAGTGGTGTGGGTGTGGGTGTGGGTATGGGTGTGTGTAAGATTTATTCAACTCCAACCTTTACCTGGATGTCCCAGTGGCAGTACCTCAAATACATGTTGTCCAAAACTGACCTGTCCTCGAGTTCCTTCCCAAACTGTCCCTTTCACTAATCATCACTATTGTGGACAACATCACCATCTCTCAGTCATGTAAGCTATAAATCTTGGAGTTTTCTTTTATTCTTTCTTTTTCACCTGTGCATCCAGTCCGTGGTCAAGTTCTGTTGAGTTTTCTTTCATAATATGTCTTGGCTCTAAAAGTCATCATGATGTAGTGGAATTTGGATTCAGAGGACCTGGGTTCAAGTGAGGGCCCTGCTAACTTGTAAAATCAGGAGGATGGGCTAGAAGTCCTTTGGTTCTAGATCTATGATCCTATGGTTCCTTTTCCCTTAGCCTGGTTACCACCTTTGTTTCAGATCCTTATCACACCTAACTTAGCCTACTCTAAGTAACTCCTCTTAATTAGATGTCTGGTTAGATAGATTCTTTCTTCTCTAGTTCATCCTTTACACAGTTGCTTAAAATATTTTTTCATATTGACAAGACTGACCATTTATTTTACTATCTGCTCAGAAATTTTTAGTAGCTCACTATTGACCGTAGTATATTATAGAAGTTTCTGCTTACCCTCATATTATTTAAGGGCTTAGCCTTCCTTTCCAACCTCATGTCACATTTATCTCTCTCACTTATGCTTAAACTCTAACCCAAACTGAAATACTTGCTGTTTTTCAGGCCTTTCCTGCCCTTTACCCCAGTTCTGTGCATTCATGCATTTAATTCCACACTCCTTCCCCATCTCTGCCCATTGAAATTCTTCGGGGCTCAGCTGAAGTACATCTCTGCCCTGCAACCTCCCTAATTTACCTTTTCTCTCCAAGTAACGTCTCCTCGATCTGATTTTCCTAGTGCTTGACTTCCTTTGTCTTTATTATGTTGTATCTTATTTGTGCACCTTTTATATTCCTGCTCCCCTCCTCTCCCTTCCCCTCCCCCAGTGGCATATTCACTCTTTGAGGGCAGGGATTGTTAATCTTTTTCGTCTTTGTTTCTTTGTGTCTAGCACAGTACTTTGATTTGTTATAGGCACTTAAAATGTGGAGTGACTGAGACTGTTGCCAGATTAAACTCTTTCATTATATTACCTTCAGTGGTTCCCTTTTGCCTGCTGCTAAGTCAAGTCTTAGGATCATAGGGTTGGAGAAGTTGAATTCAAAGGTCTTTTCCAATTCTAAATCTATGATCCTATGAACACTTAATTATTTCATTATGTACTAGTAGTATTGTTTCACTTGTGTTAGTCTTCAGCCAAATTTTAAACTCTTTGAGGGATAGCAGTCTTATCTCAGCTTTGTAGCTCCCTTTTCCCTGCCCCCTCCAACCACAAGTTAATGACTAAAATTACTACCTGTTTAATCTTTCCACCATCCCTTCTCTCTTCTTCCCCCAATCTTTCTTAATACATTTTTCATGGCAGGTGTGCTTAGATCTAGTTTATGAGTTTCTTGAGGGCAGGAATTGTTTTTTGATTCTTTTTGTGTCCACCATTTAACACAGTGCCTGGCATATAGTTGGCACTTAGTAAATGTTGATTGACTGACTGCTAAACTGTATTCCCCTTTTGCAGGTATTTTGGAGACCATTTGGGACAAACACAGTGTTACTGCTGCCACTCCACCACCGTCCCCAACTGCAGGAGAAAGTGGTATGGTTTGCAATACTATGATATCCTTTTGTTGTAAACTTAGTGTCTTGGAGCAGTATCTTAGCCAGATCAGTCAAGATGATAACTTCCTTGACTTGTTTTTTTTTACTCCTGTCTTTTCTAACTGCCTATAAGGAACTATAACAAATGTATAGAATCATAGATTTAGATCCGTAATGCTCTGTAGAGATTTATTCATTTTATATATGTGGAACCTTTTCTGAGGCCATGCATATAGTCATTGACAAAGTCAAGATTCAAGTTCAGATCTGCTTCCAAATACTGTAATATTATCATTACATCTAAAAAAGTTTTCTCTTCCATTTTTTGCTCATTCTAAAAAGATGCATTTCATTTATTTTTGTTCCGAATTTTTAGTCCCAGTAGTCTGATACATCTGGACTTTTGTTTCCTCCCTCAATCATAGCATGCTACCTTTTCCTTGCTAAAGCCAGTAGGCTGTGAGATTGACAAGTCAGTTTTATAGCTCCGAATTGAAATTGCTCAGTAACTAGCCAGCCTATAAATTGCCACGTTACAGTGCAGTGTACTTTTAGCCTAGCTCAGAGAGAGAACTGAAGATGGCTAAAGCAGATTAGAGCATTGTATAGTGTGATTTATTTTGTTTTTACTTAGACTCATATCAGTTTTGGGTTGCATATAATTTGAATAAAAAAAAATTGTGCATTTTCAGTGGTGGTCAGATAATTCTAAGTTATGCTTATTTATTTGAAAAGTAAAATTTGGACCATTTTCAAGGATGGGGAGAAAGAAGAAATTTTGTTTCTGAGCATTTCTTGTTTTTACACCAAGTGGTCACAAAAGCTTTTCAAGTAGAATAGTACATCCTGTGAATTGGCACTTCCTCTACGGTAAAACTTGAAGTGTTTTATTAGAATTATTTCTACATCTTTCCCATAAGGAAAAGGCTTGTTGAAGTTAGACAACTCTAGCTCAGATTGTTCAATTTAGTTTAACATTTGAAAAATGTAGTTGTGAGAAGTTTAGGATAGAAAAAAAAACTAACAAAGTTTTTTGAAGACTGCTTTTATTGCAGATACTTATTTACTCTTAACTCCATTTATCAAAGTGGCATTACATTGAAAAGAAGTTCACTTTAGAGAATCTTAGATTATATTAAGATATTACAAGAAAGTTCTATACAATTGTGATGAGCTTTTTATTTTAGGGTAGATATATACAACTTAAAAGATTTAGAAGGTTGATTGATAGAATAAAAAATAAAATAGAAACATGGTTTTAAAAGTGACAGTTTTGGTTTCTTTGGCATTTACAGACGCCAGTAAACTCTTTTTGTAGTTTGCAAAGGGAAATATTTTTGGTAGTTAGTGTGGTATGGCTTTCAAACTAGATTTATCTTTAGATGCATTAATGCAGATTTTGTTATTAATATTGGCTGTAGAAATTAACTTGATTAAAAATGTTTTTTTTTTAAATGAAAGAACTATATGTACTAGTTGCCTCCATTTAGTGTTATGGCTGATTACTAAGCAGCTGTGTCCAAGGAAACCTGTTTTCCTTGTGGTATACAAGAGAAAATTAATTTGTTACCACTTTTTGAATTTATGGTTGTGGGAAATGTTAAGTGTAAATATGTAAGTAGACATTTCTGTATAGGCAAAATTAAGTCACGATAGAAGATAGTAGATATGTCATTTCTACTTAGAATTTGCTCCAAATCTTGAATTTAGTGCAATATAGTTTGAGGAACTGGTCTCAATAACAAGCTGAAGGAGTTATGTAATCCCACGACTTCTCTTCCTCCTTTTAAAAAAGGAAAAACAAAAAACTCATAACATTCATTTGTTATGATTTTTTCCCCTTTTTTTTAAACACTTAAAAGGGGGAAGGAGTAACTTCTGCAGTATTTCCCAAAAGTAAGCCTTCCAGATGAGGTCATCAGACCTTGCTTCATTATTTGATCACAGTGTTGATGACTTAACATTCTCTTTCAAAAAAAAAAAAAAAGAAGAAGAAGAAGAAGGATGTGCTTAATTAGTTGGGCATCTTTTGGTCTGTCAAAATCCTAAGTTTAACTATGTAGCTTGGAGAAGATTTAGGTTCTTCTCCCACCAAAGGCCCAATCGTAAAGGAAAGCTATGTGTTAATTTCTTTCATCTTAGACTTCGGATTCATATTCTGAGAAATACTTGTCATTTGTATGAATAAACTGAATGATACTTTATTATTTTTTTTTCTTGTTGAATTGAATCCAATTTAATTGAACTGAACTTAATTGAACTAGAACTGTGCCCTCTTATTGTAGTTTCTGAAAATACCACTGAGGTGTTGCCTGGAGTGCAAATGATAATAACTTTCCTTTCCTGCCCCTCAGTCAATCCCCATCTTTATTTATTTATTTATTATTTATTTATTTTTAGTTTTCAGTATTCACTTCCATAAGCTGTTGAGTTTTAAAATTTCTCCCTCTTCCTTCCCTTCTTCCTCCCCAAGATGGTGTGCAATCTGATATAAGCTCTCCATATACATTCCTACTAAACATATTTTCACATTAGTCATGTTGTAAAGAAGAATTAGAACCAATAGGAGAAACTACAAGAAAGAAGAAACAAAACAAAACAGGCGAATAAAAGAAAGAGCAAATAGTGTGCTTTGATCTGCATTCAGACTCCGNAGAAGAATTAGAACCAATAGGAGAAACTACAAGAAAGAAGAAACAAAACAAAACAGGCGAACAAAAGAAAGAGCAAATAGTGTGCTTTGATCTGCATTCAGACTCCATGGTTCTTTCTCTGGATGTGGATAGCATTTTCCGTCATGAGACTTTTGGAGATGTCTTAGATCCTTGCATTGCTAAGAAGGGCTAAGTCTATCAAAGTTAGTCATAGCACAACGTGGCTATTACTGTGTACAACATTCTTCTGGTTCTGCTCACTTCACTCAGCATCAGTCCATACAAGTCTTTCCAGGTTTTTCTGAAGTCTACTTACTCATCATTTCTTATAGCACAATAGTATTCCATTACATTCATATACCACAACTTGTTCAGCCCTGAATGGTACTTTAACAAATTATCAAATTTAATTTAATACCATATTTAACAGCTTGGCTCTCTATTTACCTGTTTAGATTCTGGTTTAGTTAGTTATATCAAATTTGGCTCCTGAGATGCTTTATCTAATTTCTTGTATATATTCTTTTTAAAATAGTAGCTAATCTTTCTGATCCTTAGTGTAGAATACAGGAAGAAAACTGATCTGTGGAACTGAAGGAGTAGCCCTAGTCAGCCATTGATAAAATTGGCTATAGCAGAAGCAGGATGTGATAGGAAGAATATACTGTTTATTCGTCAAGTCCTAGGAGAATTCCTTAAGTCTTTTCTTGTTAGAGGCCTTCTGTGATCTCTTTGCTCATCACAGCAGATGGAAATCACAGAAGATGGAAACAGAGCCTACAATCTTTTAGATGAGATGTCAGGTTGAGAAGAATAAAAACTGAGGTACTTTTGGAAGATCAAAAATGAAAAGAAGATGAGCTCCTCCTTACGGACGCTTTACTGGCAAACAGTTGGTCTGGATCTATAACCATGATAATTTTCATTTCCATTTCCTCCCTTTAAACGATGGAGGAGTTTTATGACACCCAGCACACCTTTCATTTTTCCTGGTTTGATTCCTTTTGTTGTGGTCACTTTTGACATTTGCTTCTTGCTCTGAGATAGATTTATCCCTTCCTGTTGATGACATTGTTTGCTTCAGAATGTCAAGATTTACCATTTCACTGGTTTGAGTATCCCTTTGCTGGTAGAGAGTCTTTCTGTGTTGATAGTCTTTGTAAGTTGTTATGACTGAAAAAGTCATTTACCTAGTCAACCTTTTGGTGATTAAACTTCTCTGAACTTAGCTAGACTGATTCTAGCTAAGATACATATCTCATCACAAGCTTTGGACTTGAAACCTTTCTAGACTGGGGAGACAAGGGAACCTTACTCTACTTCTACTAAGAGTCATTAGACTAGGATTTAAGTGGGTGGCAGTGTTTATTCTTTTTATATATTTGTTTTCTTTCTCCTCTAGGAAGCTACCTAGAAAGCAGTAGCAACTTAATTTTTTTTTTAAATTCCAAACTTAGACACCAAATAAAATGGGTATTTTCATAAACTGAACAGAAAGAAGACTGTATGTAAATCTGCAAATTTCTTATGTACAACTTGCTTTTCTTTTTAATTATGTAATACATTTGAATGTAACTTTCAAAACTGTCCTATATATCTCTGATTTTTTTCTGGCCTTCTGTTCTCTTGACATTAATTTTTTTGTTTTATTTATTTTTTTCAATATTTATATCATTAAAATTGTTCTGGTTCTCCTCACTTCACTTTGCATCAGTTCATACAAATCTTTCCAGTTTTCTCACAAACTATACTTTACATCATTTCTTACAGCACAGTAGTATTACATTATGTTTATATGACATAATTTGTTTAGCTGCCTTCCAGTGCAGATCATCTCCTTGGTTTCCACTTCTTTGCCACCACAAAAAGAGTGGCTAAATATTTTTGTACATTCGAGTCTTTTTCTTCTTTAACTGCATAAGTTTTTGTTTGTGCAAAATTTTTTTACATTTGTGTAATCAAAACTTCATTTTATTTTTTGTGATCTTCTCTTTTGCTTTAGTCATGAACTCTTCTGTCCATAGATTTGCAAGGTAATTTCTTCCCTACTCTTCTAATTTATTTCTGATGTTAATTTTCTGAGTGAGTCATTGATCCATTTGGAGCTCGTCATGGACAGTAGCTCTTTGATGGACCTGGGAGAACCAGGCAGAACTCATGTGCGGAAGCCATCCTGCTCTGAAGTAGGAACTCTCTGTCTGCAAAACTTGATTTGTGGCTATTTCTTGCTGTTTACAACAAAATAATTACTGTGTTTATTAAAGAATTCATCTTGGGCCAGCAACTTTTCTTTCTTTGTTGACTCTTCTTAGCATCTACCTTACCATTTGTCTTCTTATTTCTCTTTCAACCTCCGTGCCTCACAGGGCTGCCTTTCATCTCTGCATGCTACCATATTGAGGAACACAAACGAAAAACAT